TGCCTTATGTAAGACTTTGATGGCAGTTTAACATCCTCACATTACTTCAGCCAAAAATCATTCATGTATTTCCAAAACGTCACAAGTTCCCTCGACAGGAACGTTTCATGGTGGGTTGTGTACGGACAAATAACCGATTAAATGTTCCAGGTGTGGACAGGCTGGAAATAATCGAGAGGGCCAAGTGGTTAAGGTGTTGTACTTAAGATTCAATGGATACTATTCCTCATGGGTTGAAATCCCATTTCTTTGATTTTACCATTGCTGTAAGAAGTAAAGGGTTCAGGGAGAGTTCATTAAAAATAACTCCAATTCCAAGTTACTCCAATTGACTGCTTAGAAGCACCATCCACCAGGATGGCTGAGTGGTTAAGGTGTTGGACTTAAAATCCAATGGGCAGATACTATGACTAACTGGCTCTTCCACACCATTTACTTCCAATAACATCAATGTCAACTCAATGGAGGTGAGGACAAGCTATTATCAATTAACAAATGCAGTAATTTGAGACAGTAAAGCTGCATTGATATGCCTCATGGAAGATCTGCTTTCCCAAATTAAGGAATTGATTATTCTGTCTTTGTGTGTTGATGAGCTTCAAGTTTTGGAAAGAATAAAACAAACCTCAACTAAACACTACAAAGAAACAAAAAATATGTATATTGCTTGTGACTAATCTAATGAATATACTGCAAGTGATGGTGACTATAGCTCTTTTCAAAATTACATTGGAGCCAAAGGTTCCAGGGAAGTATGTGAAATAAAACAAAGTTTATTACCATCACAGGACATTTATTTGGTCAGTCATTTTACTGCTTTGTTAGATGTCCAGTTTGTCAACTCTGCAGTCAAACAGAAACATTATCTCATATATTGTAAAGAATTAGGTCCACATTTTATAACATAATGCATAAATGTCTATGTTGGCCAAACAAGTACATCCTTTTGGCCACAGGTGGAAATATGGTTAACAGTGACAGCTGAGAAATGAGGGATCACTTATTGGGGAAATGAAGGCGTGGGTTGTGGTTGAATCAAATTATCAAAGCTGTATCTGTTGGTTAGGATTATAATTTAAACATGACCAGGATGGCCGAGTGGTTAAGGCGTTGCACTCAAGATGCAATGGACGTAAGTCCTCGTGGGTTCAAATCCCACTCCTGGTAATATTACCCTCTGCTTGACCTTTAACACAACCCACCAAGTGCTCTCTTGGTGGGTTGTGTTTCCTGCTATAAAGAGATTCAAAATATTCATCAAACCATGAGATTGGTAACAAAAATATATTTCCCCTGAGATGCAATTGGTAAAAGTTTTCATGAGCTCAGATATAATTTTTCTTTAATTTTACATTTTGGTAGGAAACGGGCACCAAATATTTTCTCAACACCCTGTTTAGCACTATGCAGAATTTTTATGTACTGAATGCCATTGTCTGGTCCCAGGATGGCTGAGTGGTTAAGGCATTGGACTTCTCCAATGCCTTTGATCCTCATCAATACCCTTTCTCTCCTGAGCCTATTTAAATTTCCTAAATGCTTTAGTGTAAATATTGACAATCTGATGAAATTAACAGAGCACGATAATAAGTTGAATCAATAATCAAGGTAAAACAACACACTATATGTAAATATGGTCTAAGTCTGTGTGATGTCCCACATAAAGGGCGGTTTTGATGCCTTTCCAAAGTGGTTGCCATATTGGAAAACAACCACAGAGCTTAAGCTGAGGTTTTTTTCATGGTGGCATTATTTAAAACAATTCACCCCCTGCTCATTGTGTGCTAAAAGACAATCAATTACAAAACCTGTGAAAATTGACATTTCAATATGGTGTGTGTACGGTACATCCTGGGCTTATGTGGCCTCAAGCGGACACTGAGGGGACTGCATTTTTTTGCATTTCTGTGTTGGCATCATTTTTCAACAATAGAGGTTGTTGCTTGGGTGAAATAAATCTAAATGTCGCTTGTGTCCTGTTGAATAATTTAACCTTGACCTATGCTTTGGAGCCACACTTGTAAATCAATCAATTTATATCGATATAGTGTTAAAATCATAACAAAAGTAACCTCAGGAAACTCTTCCACAAGAGCAGGTCTAGACTGAACTTTCCAGGTTACAGGAACTCAACCAGGTGGGAAAATGTGCCAAGAAATAATTAATCAACGCTATGGACACGAGTGCTTTCGAGTTAACATCAAAGATGAAACACCTAATTCCACCAGGATGGCCGAGTGGTTAAGGCGTTGGACTTAAGATCCAATGGGCAAATGCCCTCGTGGGTTCGAACCCCACTCCTGGTATAGTATTGGTGAACTACTGGTACAGCCACTTCCCTCTACTCCAGATTATCATAACTTCTGCTTACTTCTCTCAGTTAATCACTTACAGTTAATACAGGATGAGTTGATAATATACTCATATGTCTCCCCAACTGATAGGAGAAGTTGCCGTCTAGATCTACAGTTAATGTTGTTAAAAGTTTAGAGTTTTCTTTTCAAATTGTGACAATAAATTGGATGACATGAAAGCGCTGGAACTGTTGGATAAAAGCCATTTAAAATGTCCTTAATAACTAGGTTTTGTTTTCCCATTGTTTAACTCAATGCTCTGATTTATTAGCCTCATTTCCAGCTATTTGTATATATAAAACATAGAGAACTAAAAAGCTCTGACTGGCTGAGGAGGTAGTTGTTGCCTTTATTCCCTGGGTTGTTCACCCAACAGGAAATAGACTGCCTTCTGTTGACTCCCTGACCATGTTGCTTGCATTGTGGACATGGCTTAGGACTGAAGTAAATTAGATCTGAATCAGTCTGAGCCCGGTTATATGACTGATAGGTCAAGTCTATTAAATGCATGGCTGCTTCTGTTTGGTACTCATTGCATTGGGTGGACCTGTTATTAAGTCTGCACACAGACACACTAATACAGACGCAACACTCTGCTCTAAGAAGAGTGCGTGGAAGCTGTGTCTTAAACTCCATTTTCCCTTTAAGCTTTATATCCCATGAATCTCAAATTTAATCAGCAGAGCTACATTGGGGGAAAGTATAGTGGGAGCCATCATCTTCTATCTTGTTCTGTTCCAGTGAGAGAGTCTGATCTGTGAATTCTGCTGAACAATATTCAAATAAATGTAAAAACGGGGAGATATTTGATTAAACCCACTCGAGCAGATTCTCCTTCTGAGCTGAAAATTAGGCTTGTGTGCAGCTTTATTTATACATAAAGTATAAAAAGGTTTTAAATGTATTGGAGTGTGTCTGCTGGTTGCTGTGTAGAGTAGAGTTTTTGGCTGTTATGATTGCTGCTTTAATTGCGATGTGTTTTGAGCGTCAAACTGACAGTGGGTAATTAGTTCTGCTCAATGTAACATTTTCTCCTGATGTGAGAAAACTGTTAAGTACTCATACAGAGGTGAAAATGGAGTTCATGAAATACATTATGATGATGATGCTTTTTTTTTTACAGCACTCAATCATATGAATTGACAAAAATGCTTCCTTTAATCTTTTTACTAATGTCTTTTTTCACCATCTGTCATGTTAGCACTATGGCTGGCTATTGGAAAATTCCAGTATATAATTTGGTTTGACGATAATTTTGGTACAAACATACCATCTTGACCACTATTGGATGGATTGGCTTTTAATTTTGTCTAGAAATGTACTTTCCACAGGTAATGAATCCAAATGGGTTTGGTTTAGCTGCCCTTTCAAAAAACCCTCAAACTCTTCTCAAAGACTAAAAGTTTGGGCTTCTATTTGGGGACGTTGTTTGACTTCGCTGACTCGCTCTCTTCCTCTACATAGACATTTGTAATCTTATTTGAAATGTCTACGCTAATATTGAATGGATTTCCACAACATTTGGTTAAGACATTAATGTTTACCTCAGATTAAATTGTGTTTGTGTTAGTGACTCTGTGACTCCATGCACCAACATCAGACTGTAATGAGATATTGTCCTGTACTTAGTTTTTGATGAAGTCCTTTTTAATTTCAGTAAAATGAAATTCTGATATTCTCTCTTGGTTTTGTTAGTTTATGTTTAACAGGCCCTTGTAATAAATTCTGCTAAATCAAACAGTCTCCTTTAAGATTGCTATTTGCATTGAAAGTGTCACTTCTCGTTTCATCGTAGTGCTAATTGAAGAAGGCTCAATCAAAGCTGATTAATTCAAAACGAAAGGCAGATACCAAGGTGAGCACAACACTTATTATTCTGGTGAGAAACAGGTGAGAGATGAGAGAAAACACAGGCAGGCATGTTGATTCGTCAGATATGAGGGGGAAATAAAGCAAACAGGGCTGTCAGTGGTTATTTCACACCTCAGGCCACTGAGCAATAATTCTCTATTCCTTATTGGAAAGGAAACGCTGTGACTGTGAGTGCATGCTTTTTCATTCTTTGTGTTTGTTTGTTCCTTTCCTGGATCTGACACTCCATACCTCTTCAACTCACAAAAAAACTACTCTGCCAAAAAAATCAAAGAAGAAAAAAAGATTACATTTCACTTCCTCAAAAGTTTTGTCTCATTTCAACTTGGATGACAAAACTATTGAAGCAACTCAGAACTAAAACAAAACATCAAGGAACTTCTGACAGACAGAATAGCTATTGGTTCTGTCTGTATCCGGCCCATCAATGTATTGTTGAACATCTAGTAAGCCTCGTTTAGCTGCTTATTTGTCTAATGAATGTGAATTTGTAGTGATGTCAGTTTGATTTCAAACATCCAATGCCATAAATTGTTTTGGTATCAAAGATGGATAAAGAAAATGTGTGGAGCACACGGGATATCTGAATGCTTTAAAACCCCCAAAAACCAACGGGAATTAGTGTTAATTAATGATTCTAATGATAAATTCATTGTTTTGATGTCCCACTAAGTAGGACAGTTCAAGATAACTTATTGGGGAAATGAAGGTGTGGGTTTTGGTTGAATACATTTATCAGAGCTGCAAGTGTTGGTTATGAATGTGTCAATTGTGACCAGGATGGCCGAGTGGTTAAGGCGTTGCACTCAAGATTCAATGGACATCATAAGTCCTCGTGGGTTAAAATCCCACTCCTGGTAATATTACCCTCCAACCATGGGAGTGGAAAGATGTTTCCCTAAGATGAAATGAGTTCAGATCCCATTTTTTCAATTTTACATTTTGGTAGGAAACAGGCACCAAATGTTTTCTTAAACTCTGTTTGGCACTTTGCAGAAATTTAATGTACTGAATATCACTGACTGGTACCAGGATGGCCAAGTGGCCGAGTGGACTTAAGATCCAATGAACAAATGTCCTCGTGGGTTCAAACCCCACTCCTGGTAAAGTATTGGTGGATGACCAGCTGATATAACTCCTGTTTAGTCTTCTCAGTAAAGCATTATCTACAGGATGACTTGATTATATACTCAAACACTGATATGTCTCACCAACTTATAGGCGAAGTTGCTGTCTAAATCCACAGTTACTTTTGTCAAAGGAAAAAAAAAAGTTTTTCATGAAAAATCTAAACATCAAAGTCCTATAATCATGTTATCGTTGCCCACACTTGCCAATGATGTAGTTCTGAATCACAACAAATGTAATCTCAGGAACAAGTTAAACAAGAGCAGGCTTATACTGAACTCTTTTTTTATAATGGTTTCTTTTGAAGGACATATTCATGGAGAAAGACGTTTCATTTTACTTGGTTACAGGTCAACAAGATGCCATAGACAAAAGGTCCTTTTTGTTTGACGAAAGAGATATGTAATACCACCAGGATGGCCGAGTGGTTAAGGCGTTGGACTTAAGATCCAATGGGCAAGAGCCCACGTGGGTTCGAACCCCACTCCTGGTAACCATTTGTAGCTTTACACTGATTGACTGGACAATTTGTGAAAATGTTAAGCATGATCAGAGTCATACAAGTCTTTATTGATTGCTAACTTTCTGCATTAGAAGTTAGATTTGGTAAAAAGTGGGTTTCCTGAAGTGGATCTACAGATCGTAAGTACCCATGCAGTGATGCGACCTTCTGCAACCAATTTGATGTTGTTTACTGTGCCACATTTAATTATTCTGAAGATCCTTCAAGACCGACCATTTGAAGTGCTGATGTTCCTTTGATGAACTTAAGTGTGACAGTGAAGTCTCCTGCTGTTTGGCGTATATGTGAACAGGCAAGTCAGGAAGACTTCAGGCCAGCCAAGACTTTCTAGACATTTTTAGGGGTGCATATATAACACAGGATGATTCACTGTGTGTTCACATTTTAGGAAAACTGATTGTGGGACAGAAAATCACATACTATAGATATGTTAGTGAGTCATTTGTCATAAGTCAAATATGGGAACAAACCAGGACGATGTAACTGCCACATGCTATCCTGGCTTCAAATTGTACTCTGTAGGTGTGCTTCATGGGGGTTTATCGCCAATGAGGAACCATAGGTAAAACAGCAAATCACAGTGACCAGGATGGCCGAGTGGTTAAGGCGTTGGACTTAAGTTCCAATGGACAGTAGTCCTCGTGGGTTCGAACCCCTCTCCTGGTATGAAATAGTCTTTAAGGACTTCATCAATACAAACTTTATACTGAACCTAATATGTGAGAAAATAAATCATGCGTCATTAAGGATTCTACATGAAATGCAGGAAAATATCAACCTTGAAGTTTATTGTTCTTATTGATGTATCGGCACGCAGATTGAATAATTAACTTATTGGCGGATTGACTTAAATTAAATCGCCACCATCAAAAATCCCGTTATGTTGAGACACATTGCCTGCAGCAGCACACTGAGTGCAAAAGTTTTGCAGACTACCTCTCAGATTTCGGAGCTCGTTTTACAGCTCTAATCCTTTGTGAATTCCTAACAGAACAAAACCTGAGGAGTCCTAATGTTAGGACAGACGCACCAATTATTTTAGTTTACTTTCTTCTAACACAGTCAGGTGGGAGCTCCTTCGCCTGAGGATGTTTTGTGATTAGAATCCCAGGATGTGATGGATTTGTTGGGCTTAGAAATGAAGGTATAATAAGGTCAGAGCCGTGCTTCTTTTGCAGTTCTGTTGTTATATATGCAAATTTGTTCCAAAAGTTTTATCCTGGACACTCAATTGTTTCCCACAATTATATTCCAAGGAGGATCAATTCTTAGATAGTTCAAACACAAAGTGATCGATGAAAAGAGACTAACATTGTGATATCAGCGTTGGTGTCAGGGTGTGTCAGTAACGGCGGAGAGTGTAAAATGGTGGCGCTTGTTGGACCAGTGAGAGGAGTTTCGGTGGTTCTTACCTGTCAATGATGCCACACATGTCGATCTGCAGTTGACTGTAATTTCCCAGCAGTCTTTGCTGCACCATTATCAGGTCCACTGGCTGGTTGTCCACGCTGAGGAGACGCATGCAGCCTTGAAAGATGTTAAAGGGATTTTTGCATTCCTGACTGTTTTCTTCTGCTGGACAACCTGAACCAGAGAGTAAAGACAACAGAGTCAATAAAACCCACAATGAAGAGAGAGACATGACAGCAGAGTGGACAATATCAAAACCCTTTGTGACTAACTAAAGATAACTATTCTGTTACACTGTGGTAAATATGTCCTGCCACCAAGAGAGTTGAGCTGTGGTGTTTTTTTCGTTTTTTTTAGATCTTAAAGTGGCTGCAGTTACGCAAATGTAGGCCAAGCCTTGATCAAATGAAAATATATATTATATTCTTAGCAGCTGGCTTAATGTGGAAAAAGGAGATAGGGATTGTGCACATGTATTAGAGTGTATGAGGGAGGCCATAAAAAGCCTGAGGCAGTTAGAGAACACGCCACGACTGCAATATTGGTTGAACAAAGATTTAAGGAGAAAAGATTCCAGAGAAGGAAGAGAGGAAAGAACAGAGAGAGAGACATTAGAGAGAGAAGAAGGAAGGATAGGAGGACAGAGGAAAGACAAAAATAGTAGAAGAAGGAAGGAAGGAAGGATAGGAGGACAGAGAAAAGACAGAAATGAGAGGATGGTAGACAACTGTAACACACAACATACATAAAAAAGTCTAATATTAATACACATCGTTCAGGTCAAATATGACCGGTCTAATCCACGGCACAACAGAAAAGGAAGGACAGTGGTTTGATAACTTTGTCAATCATTCATGATGTATTAAATTTATTTTCTTTCAAGGTGAAACAGTGAAAGGCAGGAGCTTACCGAGATTTAAAAAATGCAGTAATAGAATAATTAATTTAAAAACGAAAACTCAATTAATAATTAAAGTCAAACTCCTTAAAGGGAGAAAAGGTAATAAAAAAAAAAAGCTTAGCTTAGCAGAGCTATTTTCAAATTTAGCTGAATCACAACATAAATTATGTGCAGCCGTAATCCTCTTAGATGCTAATTAAAGTTCAACTCAGATCTGTTTAAATTTTTATTTAAAAATAATTCAAAGTAAAGTGAAAACATGTCTGATATCATGTTCTATAAGATATGTTTGCTTGTTTTTTTAGTTTGGTGGATTTTGACTGTGAGCTCGGTGACTGGCGTCCCCATTTAGACTGACTTTAAGAGCATGTATTCTTACCACCAAAGAAGAGTTTACTTCCTGTGATGACGGAGTAGCCGGCATGAGCAACACCTCCTTCTTCTTTATCGACAAAGACTGTCAGACGACCTCGTCTGGAGATCAGCTCCACTGAGTGCCACTGACCGTCATTCAGAGCAGAGCCTGAGAAAACAAGTTGAACTCGTCATGACAATAATAACATGTATTTTTATTAAATGAGCAAAATGTACGTAACTCAGACACCTAGCGTTTAAAACGGGTACTGCAGTCCAAATTTAAAACATTTGAGAGAGCATTTGAGAGAGCTGTCTCCCCCGCCCCCTCCTCCCAAGAGTCAATGCTCACTCTAGTTGCCATTTCATGGACACTGAAGCTTCAGCTCTGCATCGGTCTGCAAACCTTTCTGCGTTGCAACAACATTAAATCTCCAACCTAAACATTGTGTTACTTTTTAAACTAGGTTTTTTTCTTGACTAACATGTTGTTTTTTGACAAACCTGAGTATTTGATGTTCACCACATGTTAGACAAGAAGGAAAAAAATGCTTAGTAGTAAATGTTGTTGACATTCAACAGAGTCGACTGTGAAAGCCCTAATGAGACACTAAGGGAGACTTTGTGAATCTAAATGACATACCAAACGGCTTTAAAAAAATACATTATTAAGTGGAGACTTGGGGTGAGAATGCTTTGAGAACTGGTTTGCATATCTACGAGGGCTGAGGGACGACATATTGGAGTATTAAAGATAACATTAAAGATGAGAAATTTTGGGTTTTACAATAAAGGTAGTGTGTTTATCTAAAAGGGCAATGACATGAGTCTCCAACACATTGCTCTGGATTTCAGCAGCTTTACAGACAGCAGCCATTTGGCCAGATTTATAAAGGCCAACGAAGGTATCATAACATACTATTTCCACATAGGGTGAGAAAGAGACTTTTGAAGTTTATATTAATTTTTTACAAATGTGGAGGACAAGTGTGTGTGTTTCATATACTGAGCCATCGTTTCAATTGGCAAAAGAAGCAAGATGGAGCGCCACTACGCACAGGTCCATGGTGACTTTGCACAGGACACTCCTGCCGACAACGTGCTACAAACTGTGAGTGAACGAACTGAAGCAACACTTAAAAACAGGAATCTCCATTCACCCAACCAATGAAGGGGCAACGATGGCATGTCAGCTTGTTGTGTTGACATACACAAGAAGTATCTTAAATCAGCTGGATCAAACTTGTGAGTAATTGTAAGCGATGTGATGCAAGTACCTCTAGGCGACTCTAGGCAGCTCTCAGATGAAAAAAGATGGAAACCATTGGGCTGAGATATACATTTTGAACATCATTTTCAAGACAGAAGTTATAAGTTCTATAAGCTGTAAAGTCCGACCTGCGCTGAGCTCGAGGAGCGCTCTGCCAGTCTTATGGATCTGCATTCGGAGTCTGGCCTCACTCAGGTACAACCAGACCATGCCCCCTTCCTGAGCCAGGTCAAAGGTGAGCAGAAGCCCCGCCTTGTTCCATGTCCTGAACTGA